ATCGCTGAAGTTCTTCGGAAAGAATTATTACCGGAAATTAACAAACAAGCAGATACGTAACAGTACATTAATGGTAGAATAAAACGTTTTTTTTTGGTTCTCTAAACACTGTGTATATTAAGAGGAGTGTAAAGTTGTTCTGTGTACTTAAATTACAATTTAACACGAAATGGAAAGTCTATTAACATTGTGTTTTGAAAAATCAGTGTAAAGTGTGGTTCTCAATAATATGGTATCATTTCGTTCTAGCAAGATAAGGGTTTTTGAAAAACTAAAACAAAAAACAAACGAATCAATATTAGTAAAGTAGATAAGGCCAATATCAATGATATGTTCACGAAGAATTGTCGTTAATAAGACATTAGGATATTTGAAGACTTTTTAATTATTATGTAATAGAAATAACATGTTGACTTAGATGTTTCCTTTTTGTTACAGTATCATGTTGCAGGGGTCAAATTTAACGGTTGGCAACGTTCATATGGAATATAATGTTTTAGTTGATACACTAATTTATCTACTTTTGTATTTAATCCACATTTCATATTTTTATACAAGTGCGTGATGATTTTGTGGACGCTTTATGTATATTACTTGTAGTGTATAAAGAGAGACTGGTAGTATTCATGCTATTGAGGGAAATATCATTTCGTCATCTCTAGTGAAAAGGATTTTATAGTTGGAACCGTTGGCACTGTAAGCGATTGCTGAGCCACCGATATAAATTCATATTGGTAAACACTGTAACCCTAAATGAGGAAATTGCTTAGCACTATAGATGTCCAATTAATGTGGTTTATGTAAATGTTCCTAACCAAGTTTTCTCCTAATAATTGGGTGATCCCCGCATTTGCCGGGATGGTTCCGTTTTGTGATAGTTTGTCCCACTGTCCCGAGAAAAGTTCTCGGGACGCACAAAACGCCCTGGTTTTATGATAAAGATATCAAACTGTCAGTTACAAATGTAAACGGCCTACTTGACTTGCTCATCTTATTATAATAGAGCTTGCGATGTATACGTCCAAAACCCGGGTCTCAGAAACTACCGCACCGATCATCACCAATCATAACTAGGCAGTATTTTTATAGCTGAGCAATAAACAAAACAATTGAAATTTCCACAAAAATTATATGTTTCAGATTTAACCAATAACAATTACAAACAAAAAGGAATACGTTTCAGATTTAGCCAATAAAAATTACAAACAAAAAGGAATACGTTTCAGATTTAACCAATAAAAATTACAAACAAAAAGGAATACATTTCAGATTTAACCAATAAAAATTATAAACAAAAAAGAGTAACTTTCAGATTTATAGCAATCAAAAAACTAATTAAAATGTTTTTTTTTCTTTAGTGAAAATCTCATGAGTTTTGCAACAGAAAAGCAAGGCACTTTCATTTATAACTGCGTCTACAAAGAAATGCTTCAATAAAATCTACTCTGTAATATAATGCTGTGATGATAGATCATTTTAAAACTAAAGTTTCAATAAAATCCTTTTTCTCATGGATGGTAAGCATTATTGAATGTCAAGTATGAGTACAGTGTTGTAAAACTGTCAGACAATTCCAGAAAAGGCCGCAGGCCCAATAGCCTTCCGGAGGGCAGGTATTTCCGCTAGAAATTATAACACATAATCTTCTGGTGCCAAACTCTCAAAAGTTTCGTCTGTGCCTGGTGAGAAACCCAGATATGCGCAGGTCTGAATGTGGAAAGAATTAATGCAGTGCTCGTCGTCAAAACACACTTTGCATAGTCATGTACTGATTTTATTACTGTTTAAAGAAAAACAAAACTTCTACGTTCCATTCATTTTTCAGAAAAATGCCTGAAAAGTTTCAAGGTAATGCTAAAACCTAAAAGTAGTTCGTTTGAAAATGTTCTGGATTTTTAAATAAATCCAAGTATGAAGTAGCCTATTTTAAAATGAATTGGATAAATAATCAAACATTTTTGGATGAATAATTTGATTATTTCTGCTCATTTGTTTTCTGTCTATCACAAAAAAAGCAGCCCTCCCCTCCCCAGTGGTATGTCTTTGGATTTACAACGCTAGAACCCGGGTTTTGATATCCGTGGTGGGCAGATCACAGATAGCCCATTGTATAGATTTGTGCTTAACTACAAACAAACCAAAAACAGTAGGTGAAATTATTTAAAAAACAATGCCAATGTTAATATATTTGGGAATATTGTGGAACAGTTCAATAAATTTAAAGTAAAATTATTTTAAATTTGTAATAACCATTTTTAAATTAGAAGCAAGGGCTGTTTGAAAATCTGGTCACCCTACCTCATAATGGGAAAACTATATGTAATACTTAAATAGTTTGATTGGTTGGCTTAACACAAAGCTACACAATATCTGCGATTTGCCTGCCGAGTGTAATCGAACCTTGGATTTTAGCGAGGAACCTACCGAGGAACAATAATTAAATAACTTTGTATTACAGAAACATTCTTTAGTGACAATACTTTTTTTTTTAAGCATACATTTCTGTAGATAATTTAAACTTTTCTTATTGGATCTCTCTTACCTTTCTATGGAAGAATTGCACAATATAGTTTGTTTTCGGATACTGGCACAAAGCTACTCACAGGCTATTTGCAATAGCCGTCCGTAATTTTGAACTGATCGACTAGATATAAGACAGCCAGTCAACACCACCAACCTCCAACTCTTGGGCTACTTTTATCTGACGGAGTAGTGGAAGTTTACTGTCACCCTTATAACGCACCCACAGTGCGGAGCATTTTTTTTTTTCAGTAACAGGTACCACAGGTGGACCCGTTGATCCACATTTCGACGTGCTAACTATTAGGTCACGCATGCCCCTTTACAATATGAGTACAATACTTTATTATTTCATTTTTTGTGCAATGTGATGAACACGGTGTAGGAATTAGCTGAAAAAATATGTTCAGACTTTTACTGAAATGGTAAAATACAATCTCGTGAACAGTTTAGTTTTGCCACAACATCATACACGAAACACGTACTATATATCTGAAAAATTAAATATTTTATACATGTTTTTTTTTGTAGTTGGATAAAATTTGTTTTTTTTATACCCTTTATATGGTTCAGATTTTAATTTTCAGAACAAAATATTCATAACAATAATTGTTTTATTAGCAACAACATTGTCATGTACAAAGTACGAATGTTCATAATTCCCCAAAAGCATGATTTCCAACACTATAACAAAATAAGTTTTAAAATTATTTTTCTGGTTTATTACACTTATTATTTTACTTTTTTTTTGTTGTTCTCACTCTGGTGAAAAAATAAAGCACGTTTTTATTTTTCAGCTAAACTGTATAATTCATCCTTCTGCAGGCGAAACATATTCCATCCTTGACTTTCTGTGATGTTCGTAGCACCGTGTTTCTTGTAGAACTCGATAGAGGACGTATTCCAGTTCAGCACAGCAAAATATAAATGAAAGCATTCATTTTGGATTCCTTCCTGTTGAAAATATTTATAAATTTGAATATTGCATAAAATGTGTAATGAACTCATTTGCTTGAAGAAATAAGCCGAAACAATAATGAATGAGGTTTGATTTACTAATTGTTAGTACAGCGATACTTAATTGTAGTGAAGTCTATGCTTTTTAATTGCAACATTGAAATCTGTACACAATTTTGGGTAAAAGCTTCATGTTCAGGATTGTAAGAACCTAATGGCTCTTGAGTCAGTCTCTAAATCACTCCACATGTGTTTTATCAAATAATATCAAAACTAAACAGACAAACATTCAGAAGTCATGATATTTTACAATATTAAAATGAAAGATGCAAAGCAAGTAATGGTTTTAATAATTATGCAAATTATCATACTTAATTTCGTGTGAATAAGAAACCAGAGTATTTAATAATAATATATTGTTACGTCTCCGT